TTTTGTTGGCATTTAATTACACATTTATTGCTTAAGTTTGATGAGTCAGCACTCTTGGTTACATGAAACTAACAATATTAACACTGAACGATTAAAAACGCGCTTTATAAACTTAAAGAATTAAAATGAAACTTAATGCAAATAAATGTAATCAAATGTATAATTTTTCTTTAATTTCTTAGCCATATAATTTCATCTTACTTTCAATTAATAAGTTATTATAGTTTTTTAAGTGGGTATACTTTTACCTATTTTTAATTAGATTTTTGTGATTTTTTTTATCATATTCACATAGTTTTGCCTATTTTCAATTAATTATGGAGCATTTGGATTAGGAAAAAAAATACTTTTTAAAAGTACTTTTTCGTAAATTTAAATAAATTTCTTTACATATTTACTTCGTATATCATAAAAATACTTTTAAAATTTTAATTTTAATTCTACCCAAATACTCCCTGATTCTCCTTTCTTTGAGGGGGAAAGAGGATCCATCTGGTCAATAAAGTAAGCTCTTCTTACCTTTTAATGAAGGGGTTTAGGCATTCGGCCATCTCACTTGTCAATAAAACACTGGTAGCAAAACAAGATTGGAGGTTCCTCATATCTTCTTATCTGTCTTTTCTTGCTTCGACTCTTAAAGGTGAATTATGACTCACTAATATTAAAAAAAATAAAAGATAATAAAATAAAAATCCCATTTAATTCTTTCTTAGAGGACAAGTTTGAAAAGTGTACTTTGTGATGATTAAAAGAGAAAAAACAAGTAAAGTATTTTTTCCTGACAATAAAATAAAAAATGGGGATTAAAAGTTTACTGACCTCTAAATTAATAAATGTGGGGTGGACTCATTAAAAAAGAGATAAGAAAAATGAAAAATGAAAAATGAAAAATAAAAATCCCTTATTTAAGTCGATTAGCTCCCCAAGTGAAAACATCTTTTGAAATCATAATTGTAAAAAATTAAAAAGAATAAAAATAAAAATCACAAATTAATAATAATTTGGTGCTTAAATGAAAAATAATATTATGAGTCATTAGTTATTAAGAAAAATAAAAGACGAAAATTAAAAATAAAATAAAAATTTTAGTTGGAGCTTATAACCAATGCACCACCTTTGAATATCCATAACTATGTTATTCTTATTCTTTGGGGGTAAACTTGCCTGGTCGGTGGTCTCATTTATTATTACTATTTTGTCTTGTTTTGCTTTAATTGATTTTGGCATTACCTTCTCTCCTTCCTCATATTCAAAGAGTTTGGCGTCTATGTTATTGCAGATAACCCTCCCTTTTGTTGGGTCATATTTTTTCTTTATTTGGTTAGTTTCTTTTTGTGTTTTATTTCATTTCTTTTTTGCTTTGCTTCACCACAACCGTATTTCTCCTCTATTTTCAATTCATTTGTTCATTTAATTGCCCGAATATTTCTTTGCATCTCATGTAACTCCTTTGCTTTCTTATGCTCCTCCCTCTCTTGCTCTGAAGTGGACTATCACAATATGAGCGTGAAAGATTTGATTTTGATGTGTGTATTCTTCATATTTTATTATTATTTTGCCTTCTTGCTTCGTGGCTTATGTAGTTTATTGAGAAAGTATCTCAAGAGATGCATGCTTGCTTCTCATCATCTCTTAGAATTATTCTATATGTTATGTTGCAGTGAATTTTGTTAAATGATTGATGAGCATGCAATTTTTTTGTTTTTTTTTTTTTGGTGGTTATGTTTCCCTTCTTACTTCTTCCTCATATCTCTTGGTTCACCCCTTGCAAGCAAGTAAATTTCAAAATAAATGAAAAATTGTTTTTCAAAATAATTTTGTGCTGTTTGAGGTTTTTAGAATCCACCCAGGTAAAATCAATTATTCTTTGATATAAGACTATTAGAATCCTCTAAACAAGCTTAATATAAAATGTTTTCAAAAAATAAATACATAATTTTTTGAATCGATCTTATGCCATTTGAGTTCCCCAAGAAAAATTGACTATTCTGCTATGCGGGATTATTGGAATCTTTTCAAGAAGTTTGATCTAAAATTGTAAAATAAAAAATACAAAGCAACAAGAAATGTTTTATTATAATAAATTAAATAAATAATTTTTAAAAAAAAATCAACAAAGTGACACGTATTTATACCTTTAATATATGTGGATTTTGATTCCTCCAAAGAATATGTAGGCCTTAATTTTTATCCTAAGTCGAGTCTAACTTTGTAAATAATTTAATTTTTTCCTTTTATGTTTTTTTTGGTTTGTAAATAAAATTTTTTTCCCTTATTTATTTTTAGTTTAATTAAAATATTTTTTAAATGTCACATTAATTTTGAATACTTGACTCAAGTAACCGTTTTCCCAAATAGATGCCATAGGATACCTAATACTTTCTCACACAACTGATTTCCGAGCCCCATATGATTTTTGTAGACCATATTTTTGTAATAAGTTTCCAAAATTACCCTCTTTCAATTTTGGTAGCGACTCTTTCTTCTTTCTCTTTACACAAGGGCTGAGATTTGGGCGTGACATATATTAATCATGCTTCAATTATCAAAAAGCCCTATAGTGCTTCATGGATTTGGTCAAGAATAGCAAATCATGCTGATGTCCTTGTCAATCAACTTCAATGGAAAGTGGGAACTAGTACTTCCATTCCTATTAATTACCTCTTGTCGTGGCAGATACAACTGAGATCGACCCTGTTAAAAGTCCTTAAGTAGTGGCTCTCTAATATTCTTGATCAAATTTTTTGGGGTGAAAATAAGCTTCGTATTTAAACTGTCAAGGGTAGATATTCTCTGTGTTTGCGTCAATGCCATCCTGGGGCTTTTGATTCTTTTTTTATAATATTTGTGGCTATTTCTCACCCCACCCCACAATACATTATATTCGTTTGGAGACAATTGCATAAGACACTGCTTTCTGCCAATTTTTCAAAGCTATCTGATTTGAATGCTTTCTAATTAAATTTGACGATTTCAACTTCCAACGTTTCCATCAATGGTTGAAGGAAACACTTGTTGCCCTGTATCAAGATAATCAATTGTCTCTTTTGAAGGGTGTTATAGTGCCTATTTGGCAGGGTGTTTGTGGAGCTTAAAAAGAGTTTATTGGTGCCATAAGCTTGATCTGCAATTTTGTCATTGTTTGGATAAGGTTTTAATTTATTTAGCTTGTAAGTCAAAAGCCTGTGAAAAGCATAAGCTGGGAAGAGATAATTATAACTTATGGAATTGTGCGTTTGCTTTGGTAAAAAGTCCTGGAAACATTTATTGCAAATTTAATACCAAATCTGCCTTCTGGCTCTCCTTCCTCATACGGTCATTTTGTGCATTTTCAAATTTTTTAATATAACACAATTTTCTAAAAAGTTATCATATGATAAATAACTTTTTTTTTATTAACGGTTTTTTTAATATTTTACCATATGTAAATGTAACACACACACACACACGCATACATGAACATATGTATTACTCCCTCCCTTCATATTATAAATTAATTCAAATTCATTGTATTATGTAAAGTCATTTTTTTAATCATGTTTTATTATTTATTAAAACTTATACCTATTTTGGTTATTTTACAACCAACCTTACTTTTACTCAATAATAATCCAAACGACTTTTTATCAATCTCACTTTTACAAATTAACTTTTCTGAACTTCAATCCAAACACAATTCAACTTATCTAATTTAACTTTTATCCAACTTTACTTTTTCATAAACCAAACTCACAATAAACTACTTTTTCAATTGCTATTCCAGACAGACCCATAATCCTCATCAATATTATTTGGAGGAAGAAGAACATGGACTTGCGTGAAAAAAATAAATCAAATCCTCTTACTGTTGCACAAGAGATCAAGAATATATTGTCCTTCTTTGATCTAGCCTTCACGGTCTCCTAGCAAGGTTGTGCTCCAGTCGAATTCAATTATTAATACTAATGGTCGGAGCATCATATTACATAGAAATAAAAGTAGGAGATGTGTTCCTCTTTGTCACTCTTTGATATGTTATCAAGTTTGGACTCTTTAATACTTTCAATTAATTTGAAGATAGAGGGGAAATCATCTATTCAATTACAAGTGTCTTCATTTCACTCTTTTCTGAATTAATAACTTCTCTTTTTTGTCTCTGGGGACAATACGGCTACAACTCTCGGTATCAATTAAACAATTTTATCAAGTGTAATCCTTCTTCTTATGAATCTACTAATTTATTTTCTTTGTTTCCTTTATGATTAATATAAGATGACTGATTAAAAAAAATTTAAAGACATAATTACAAATTGAGTGAAACCACAAAAAACTTGTAAACACAAAAAACAAAGACCGATAACTAATTAAAAATCATGTAAAATTACACAGAATCATAAGTTAATTTTCTCAAATATTATATTCTATTTTTGGCTTTTGCTCAAAAAAATTTTATAAAGGATTTTTTTAACAACTGTGTAATACATTTAATACTTGAAATATTAGAAATTTTTTTAAGCAAAAGAAAAATGGAAAAAAGGAAAATTATAATATTAGCTTTAGCTTCTCTATAGGCGCATGCGTACTCGTACTGGGATTTTTGAATTTATGTCAAGTTTTAATTTAGTTTTTTCTGTTTAAAATGTATTCCCTCCGTTCTTTTTAATAAAAAATAACTATTATCTTTACTTTGTTCCTATTTATAAGAAACATATGTAGGATGTCTTAAATTTTTTTCACTAGTTTCTTATTTTGTCTTCATTAATTATTTATTTTAATATTTAATATATTTATTATCTTATTTTTCAAAATATTATTAATTGATCTCTCTCCATCACATATTTTTTTGGTCCACAAGTCTCTTTATTTCAACAATTTATATTTTCTCTTTTATACTCTCTCTCATAAATAAAGGTATTTTTAGGGGAAAAACTTTCAATTCTTACTTATTTATTGTTTTAAATCAATTTTAACTAATTTTTTGATCAATGAGATTTGGTCAAATATTTCTTATAAAAAGAGTAGGATCCGGATCTTCTCAGCGTCTTTATTCTCAGCGGCCCTCAGAAGCTTAAAATCGTGTCCGTTCAATTGAACTCGGCGCTGAAAATTGGAGCACGTCATCCAGCTTCTAAAATTGCATCTCTGCCGTTCGCTTTCTTAAAATCTGGACTGTCCGTTTATTTCCAGCTTTCAGCCAAATCCCTGACCAACTGAGAAGATAGTCTTCGATGCGCTTCAACCAGCTCGCCGACAACAATGCTCGTGCTCATCGGAAAGTATAGTGGAACAATAAGACTTTGCCCATAACAGCCTCATCGTTTCATTTCCGCCAAGTCCCTAGAGCTTTTGGGTTTGTACTCCTTCTTCCTTAATCACATCTATCGTCAAATGAGAATGCTTTTGGTTTCAATTGGAGTTCTTTTTTTTTTTTGAATCAGATCATAATTTTCTTGAAGCAGTAATATATATTTTCTGAAAATAGATTTTGACATTGCACGCAATATTTATTTGTTTGTGCAACAGGAAATTGTTCTAAATGCCAAAAATAAGAAACGTTAGACTTTGTGTTTGCTAGCACCTTCGAAAATTTCCAGATTCAGGTTTAGATTAAATACATACTTTAACTTCCATAGTTAATGCTCTGACTTCCATGACTTGGTCATGTCTGATGTTTTGATCTTGATCTTATGAGAAAGATGACCCCCATTCTGCTGTCACTTTTGCCAGCAAAGGCATTAAAGCAAAACTTCCTATAATTTTGTCCCTTGATGGTAATCTAAATGTTGAAATTGATCAATAGAAAAAAGAGCTTGATTGTTATATCAAGTTTAGATGGAACCTTGTTTGGTGCTGCTACGCAATAGCAAGAACTGATAGTGAAGCTTAATTCTGTTTATTCAGGGATATGGTATCATGTATGGTATTGTTGTGGCTTGTATTGGATTTCTTGTGTAAACTGATAATCAAAGTAGTTTATATAGCCATCTATGTGGAAATTAATGCTTAATGTTTAGCATATAACTAGAATGATGATCCTGTTTGTTGGCAAAATGCATATTCACATCTAAAAATGATCATATTTAACAAGAGGAGAACACCATCAAAGGTCTGAGAGAATTGAGGCTAAGACACATGGTTTCTTTTCTAAGTGCCATTGAGAGAGGAGTTAGCAAGAAGTTGTATGAAAAAGAGCTAGAAATAGAGAATATGAATAGCAAGAACCAAGAGCTATTAGAGAAAATAAAGCAAGCTAGCACGAAACTTCAATCCTGGCGGTTCAAAGCAAAATATAACGAGTCTATAGTTAATGCATTAAATAACAAGTTACAGCTAGTCATGGCCCAATGTGTTATGCGTGGAAAAGAAGCCCATGGCAATAGATTTGTATGTTTTAATATATCCTTAGATTAGATTTGTATGTTTTAGTGACTTCAATGTCTTTTTTTAATGCAGGGATGAACTAGTGATGAAAACTGCAATTGGGGTCCTTGGAGATTTAGCACTTTATACATTCCCCTCATACCATGTGGAGTGCAGAAAAATGTTATATACATCCTGATGAAATGCATTATGAACAAACAGAACTTGTTGTCATATTGTGCTATCAAGACACAACTTTCTTCCATGTTTAACAAAATAAAACTAACCACCATATGGAACTAGCTATTATGATGAACAAAATAGAATTTGTTGTCATATTGAACTTGCTACCATGTCATACAAAATAGAACTTGTTAGATTCACTATCAAAAAAAGAAGTTGCTGGACTGAATGATTGAATTGTTGGAATTTGAATTGTTATTGTAGGTGGTGGCTGCCTTGTCCTCCATGCTCACTAAACATTGTTGAAGCTGTAAAAGATGGACCTTCATTTTGCAGGAATTGACTGGAAATTGTTGACGTTTTACAAGAGGGACCATCACCAACTAGGGATTGATTGGACATTGTTGATGCCATTATGGTGCAAGGACCTTCACCTAACAAGAAGGAAGGAAGAAGAGCAGTTCAAATGTTAGCATAGGGTCATAAAAATTTGTATAGTTGATTTATTAAAAATTGTATTAGAGTGTAGTTATATTATCTTGATGTAACATAAACATTGATTTTAATAAAAGTGACATTTTCCCTTAACTTGTGCACATTTCTGTCTTTTTTTTTTGGTGTACCTGATAATAAAAACTCTCCTTCTTCTAATGCTTCCAGTGATGGTGTTGGACAATCTAAGGGGGCCTATAAATTACAAAGAAAAAAATGTGCATGTTATTAATGCTAAAAGGCATTATATATCCAACTTTTTGATAAACACTAACTAAACAAATTACAAAAGACATCTACATTTTGACATAAAAACTCACCATTAGCATATTTGTGAATGACTGCACTTGAGGTAGTACTTGCAATGGTGGAGGTGTAGTACATGAAATTAGACAACCTGAGTGCTCACTTCTTGCTTCAGTTTGAGACCTACTTATTTTTCCAAGACGCTCCCGAAAATTTTTAAATCTTTTTTTCCTCTTAGTTCCATCTCTCTTTTTGATTCCCTTGGGCTGTTTACATTGTAGCTTCATCTTCTTTTTTTCTTGGTTCCCCCCTTCTTTCCTGCTTTTATCTTCTTCTTGTTTGTCGCCATCATTTGAATTCCTCAGCCTTGAACGAAAATCTCTTGCTTTTTTATGAAGTTCAATGATGGAGTTGTGCACAAAAGCAAAAGTCTTTGGACAATCAGACATTTCAGCTGCTAATTGTATCATCATATGACATAATTGTCGATATGTTTGTGTGCTTTGAAGCTTAGGATTTGCTTCTATTTCATTTCCTTCAATATCATGTATTGTGCCGTCTCTTGCATCTTTCGTCCACCTTTTCAAAATATATTTTTCTGGAAGTCTCCTTACTTCATTTGCCTCATATATTTTTAGAGCATGACAACATAATATCCCAATGGATTCAAAATACCTACAACTGCACCAGACAGAATCATCCTTCGGATCAAATGTCAATGTCCACTTTTTATCTTCATTAACCATGGTACCAGTATATGTGAACAATAGACTTCTCTCATCTCGGGAGGAGATACATGTGGCAAAAAAGAGATCAAATTGCTCTTGGAATAATTCTAACATTGAGGCTGTGTAGATCTCAGCAACTTGTCTCAGGATAGGTGAACTTTGGACTATTAGTCGTGGTTTTTTCTCTCTTGCTTCAAATTCACATTTCATCTCATTATACCTCTTATCTGCAACAACTCGCTCAAAACTTTTGAAGAATTCATTAATATCAACACTTGGATTTGTAATATTCTTGATGTCAGCATTAATACTTTCACTTATTTGTGTGCTTCGCATACCAAGAGTGAGAGAGTGCTTCATATAACACCATGCCCATTTTTCTTTGATTTCATATATGGATTTCACCCATGTATTGTCTTCCAAATTGTAGGATGATATTAAAGAAGCCCATGTTTCTTCAAATTGTGATTGATCATCAATAGCAAACATACACTTATTGAAGTCACGCAGGATATGTGAATTACCCTTCATTTTGTTTCTTAAGTGTTTTATCCCATTTTGCTCAATATGCCATGTGCATAATGCATGTTTCACTTCAGGAATAACTTCACGTAGTGCTCTTGCCATTGCTTGATCTTGATCAGTAAAAATTGTTGCAGGTCTCTTTTGCTTGTTTGCTTTCAGGAAAGTTTCAAACAACCACTTGAATGATTCTGTGGTTTCATCATATAACAAAGCTGCCCCAAAAATTAAAACTCCTCTGTATTGATTTAGTCCTGAAAATATCGCAAAAGGCCTATGATTGTTGTTCGTGCAGTATGTAGTGTCCAATGAAATGACATCTCCAAAGTAAGCATAATCTATAAGCATACGAGCATCGGCCCAAAAAATATTTGTAATTTTATCTTCTACATCAAGCTGGTATGAATGATAAAATGAAGGGTTCTCGGTAATTTGTTCTTCAAAATAATTCAATAAGCATCGGACTTCCCCATCCACTAGGCTTCTTTGTCGTTTAGTCTTCAAATAATTTTTCATATCAACTCGAGTGAAACCAAGATTAGCTCGCCCACCTGCTTGCTTACTCATGAGGTCATAAGTTTCCTTTTGTTTAAGTCCAGCATCTTTAGCCAAATCAATCTCATCTGCTTGAGCACTACTTATTTTTCGTTGAGACCTCATCATATGCACTGTCTCTTGAAGATGCAATGGGTGGTTATGCTCTTCTATAAAGCTGATGATCTTGAACTTGCCTTCCACTAATTTGACTGTCATTCCAGCTTTACAATCGGTCCTGGTCTCAGGACGATGGTTAGTGGCTGAGGTGTATCTTTTATCTGGTTTTCGTTTACCCTCTTTTGAACATGCATATCTATAACCAATAATTGTCTTTTTATCTTTCTTACTCTTTGTCAACCCATTTTTCCTTGCACTAAAACCTGCTCTACAAGCATATTCATTCCAAAAACTCCATGCCTCCTCCAGATTATCAAATTCTTTTCCTAATCTAAGAGCCAAATCAGCTTCCATGTATTGAAACCTGTAAAATAAAATTATGCAGGACACATGATAGAATCTTATTTGAAAAATGAGAAATTACAAAAATTAAAAAAACAGAGCAAAACTTAAACACAACAAACTACATTTAAATGGAGTACTAAAAGACGCTAGTCCTTTTTCTCGAATGCTTATACATTGAACTAAGCATATAAATATTCATGCAACCTGCATTAACGTCAATGAACATTCTAAATGAATAAAAACTTAAATATGGATGAAGCTATTACACTCCCTGGCAAAACCGAAGAGTAGAAAATAGGAATGAGATATACAAGACAAGTTTCGTAGCGTTGCACTGTCAGATTTTTTTAACCCACAACTTCATTTCCTTTTGAAAGCATGAATGACATTGGCTATGAAAAAGATCCGAAAAAGATATCATCTTTTCATAAAACAATTAGTTATTTTCATCTTACCTTGCCTCTTAGAATGAAGATTTTGATTTTTGAACCCCTCTCCCCAAAATCGGTAATTTCTTCACTTGGACTACCTCTAAAAAGTTAAATAGAGTCTTGCCAATTGCAGAAACAATCAACTGGAATAGCTAGAGGCCATAGAACCTATATATCCAGGTATATTTATATGATATTTGAAGAAAGAGTTTGCTTGCGACTGGCGTGAAATGTTCCCGCCAAACTGAGCTTGTAGAATGTCGAATGGCTTCTGGTTTAAAGGCATTAAACATGGATGGCTAGGATTATAATGATATGGACGGCAGAGATGCTGTTTTAAATACCCTATGACGTGTTCTCATTTTCAGCGCTGAGATCAATTGAACGGACACGATTTTAAGCTTCTGAGGGCCGCTGAGAATAAGGACGCTGAGAAGATCCGGATCCAAAAGAGTACGGGGTGCGCAATCTTGTATCCGTCCCAATGGGCCTGTTCCCATCTCAGGATGACCTTCAGGACGTCCCGTCCTTGCACGGTTCCAACCCTTTTTTTTATATAATACTTTTTTATTATTTCCTTTGTTTTTTTTTTTACAAGAGTATTATTTCTTTTGTTTACACCCTTCAATTTTGATTATTTTGATACTAATATATATATTAGAATATATATATATATTAGAACTTGAACTAGAATTTAGTTTATGGGTTGCGTTTTTCTTTGCTTTTAGAAAAAAAAAAATTTTCCATTTCAAAAAGCTTAAGTGAGAGTTTTCATAGACTGTGTTTTTATATTTTGAGGAAATTTTAAATCAGTCTTCACTTAATATTAGTATCACTGCATATTAAGTTTTCATAGATGTTCTAGTCTTTTCTTTAATAAACTTACTTCGGGTTTATGGATTAATTCAGATTGTTATATGCAGTGATTTCTGTCATGGTTTTTGAAAGATTAATGCATTTGAATAAATTTGCAAGCTCATCCATTTAAATTTAAAGGATATTTACTGTATGCTAAATTTATTTATATATTAGAAGTTCATTTTATGTTGTTTATTTATATTTACTTCAAGTTTATTGGTCATTTTTTTCCAGCAACTTACTGTTCATTTAAATGATTTAAATTTGTCTCAAGTTTATTTTATATTGCTCATTTATATTTACTTATAATTGTTTCACACAAATTTGCTTCAAGTTTCAAGTTCATTTTTTTTAAGTGTAAGTTGTGATTGAGCCTTTTTTGAATTAAATTATAACTAAGCCTTAAAAAAAAAAAGTGGTTGATCGAGACGTCCTGAATTTGTCCCAGTCCCCATCTCGACCAGGGAAAAACAGGGCGTGGGATGCAAATAGCATCGGGCCCTATTTTTCAGGATAGGACACAGAATGGGGGTTTCCTGGTCCCATCCCGTCCCGTCCTATCCCTTGAGTACCTTTAAAAAAAAAGGAAAGAGTATATTTTGGAGGGTGTTTGCTCTCCCCATCTAATGCCTTCCTCATTGCCTCTTAATTTTTTCTTACTTTCCAAATGTCTTTTTTTTTATCATTAGATTCTACATAAAATGAGTAATATTTTGATATCTTCTAAATAAAAATATGATACTATTTTGAATTTTTAACAATTTTTTAAAGATTCGACATAAAAATATGACAGTTTCTGTTTAGAAAAAATTAATTTTTTTAGTCATTTAAGATTTATTCTATAAATTATACCTATTTGATTTATTCTATATATTTTCTTACCAAATCCAATTATCAGGATAAAAAGCAATCTTCTTACAAAGTCTACTGATCTCTTTTCTATTTGTAGGAAATATAAAATAAAGGGAGAAAATAAAAGAGGATGTAGACTCACATGAGATCTTGAGCCGTGGGGTCCTCATTTTGTCCCATAAGTCAAAGAAAGCCACAGATTAATGGATATAAGCATTTTAAGTGTAATTCTCGACGCGCGCGCGCGCGCACACTTAAAAAAAAGACAAAATGATGTTATACAATATGTCAATAAAGATGCAACTTTAAAAAACATGTGAGAGCAAAAATTTTATTGTAACTAAATATTTCGTTATTTTTATTTCTATAGGAAAGACTGAAGCAAAATAGCTATTAAACAACTATTTTAGTTTACTAGAGATATCCACTTTTTTTTTTAGCCCGATGAAAATGCTTTTGCTAAGCATTCTCTCATATGTTCAGTGAAAAAAAAACCGAACCGGCCGGTTCAACTGGAAAACCGGTGATCCGGCCAGTGATCCGGTTCGGTTAAAGCAATGAACCGGTCATAAAATGAACCGGCATCAACCCAGTCAAACCGGGATAAACCAGTGCAAACCGGCAAAAACCGGTATAAACCGGTAATGAACCGGTTTGAATGATATTTTGCTATTTATCCTATTTTTTCTTTTTCAACTCCTAATATTTCAGTCACTATATATTTAAATGAATTTTAATAATAATTTTGGTATTAATAATTATTAATTTTAGTTATTAAAAAATCATAAAGATCAAAATCCTTAATGTTATTGTATTTTGTTTTAATTACAATCAAATTATTGTTGTATTTCCTTACATTTTGTTATTAGTGATTATTAATATTGCTATACTTTGTTATTTTTAATTAAATTTTATCATTTTAATGTGACCGGTTTGATCCCAGTTTAACCCTGATCTGACCCATTAACCCTTGAACTATTACCTCAACGGGTTTAGTGTCCGGTCCGGTTTTTTGTTCCTTGCATATGTTATATACACAGACACAAACACACATATATACCCTTGGTTCTAAATATAAGATCTCTTTTATAATATATAAAAAGAGTCTTATATTTAGAATTGGAGGAGTATATTTTAAAGAGTCCTACATTAACAGGGAAGACTGACACTTAAAGTCACATATTTCGTTTAATAATTACATTGGATAATTTCACTTATTTGACCATATTTGACTTTCAGTCCTTAAAATTTAAAATCAGTAATTTTAGAGAGAATTGAAATCAAGTCTTTAAGAAGAAATATAATTACTAAAAAGTCTCAATAACAATCTAGACAGCTTATAATGACAAGTTTCGAAATAGAAAACGATAACATTTAACTTGTCATTAGGATTTATTGGTAGTTATTTTTCTTTCTTGAAACCTTATTGTAATTTTCCCATGATTTTAGTTTTCAAAATTTGATCTCATTTTGATTTTGATTCTTAAAATTTGAAATAAATGGTTTTTATCTCTAAAATTTAACTTTATTTTAATTTTGATGTTCCAAGGACCAAAAACACTATTCTAAAGACTGACAAATCTTTAGGAAAACAAAAATAAAGTCAGATTTTAAAAATCAAAATTATTGGCTTCACATTTCAACAACCAAAATCAATAGTATCAAACTTCAGTAATCAAAACTATAACGGGATTGGATTTTAATGACTAAAGATAGTATTAATCCAAAGTTAATTAAACAAACTGATAAGACACATGGCACACTTCTTTAAAAAATGCAACTTATTGATTCAAAGGGAAACTAGATCCATAAACTTGTTCCATACACTGCTAGGCCATATACACACACATGCCGGCCACTGAGGCCCAATTAACTAACATAACAGACTCTACCCCTTCTGTTTTGGATATGCTGGAGAAAACACAGACTCTGAACTTTACACAGACTTGGGAATGTGGAAAACAATGAAGTCTGACACGTTCGACACTAAGGCTCCATAAATGCCAACACGAAAAACCCTCTGAAAATTTTTTTAAAAAAAAACAAAGAACATTAAACTATCACATTTCATAAAAGTATTTCCAATATCATTGACTTTCCATCAAATTAGTGTGTAGGAAACGAGCATTTTCAATTTCCCTCATAAAATTGAATGGAGTCAACTATCTATAAATTACATTTATATAGAATGCCAATAAAACACGAGTTATGTTCTTACATGGACAAAAAACTTATTGTAGGAAAGTGGCCCAGTCCACTTTTGGTGGATTGGACCCAAATCCATTTTGTTTCGAGGTCCTAATGTAAATAAACATAAGATGTGGGTTCAGAACTGCGATTTACCCCTTTTTCTTGTAAAGTGGTTAAGTAACCGTGGGGATTGAAACAAAACTGAAGGCAGTTATTTTTTTTCAACGGATATATTATCCGTTGAAAAAAAATAACTGCCTTCAGTATTGGGTTTGAGGGTTTATATTCAGTATTTGGTGAATGATGTAACAAAAATCAAAAAATGGTGGCAAGCAATTATGTAATGTAAATGTTGTCATATGCCTACTGGTTTTTAGTAAATACCATTACGTGAATGGTACAGTTCACTACACATGTAGTTAATTATGAAAGTTAATGTTTTAATGTTTACTATGATGTACTTCAAGTGCACGTCCACTAAATGGTTTATTTATGCTTACAAGTTGCCCATCCGATTAAAACAGGTTTATAAAATCCATTGAAGAAGTGGTCACTTTCACTATGAAAGTTATAAATCCTACTATGTGTTTTGTAAAATTCAACGTGAAATTTTATTGGTGGTCAAAAAAAGGTTACCTATCTCCCGAAAATATGTTGCAAAACCCATTAACAAAGTGG